CTCTTTGGTGCTCGCTTCGCTCGCTTGCAATTTTGTAGACGTACGCGATCTGATCTTTTCTTTCATTTCGTTAAACTTTTTCAGCTCGGATGAAATAAGGACAAATTCCTCCTGGGATATATCACCGTCTTCAATCGCGTGAGATACGTATTCCTCGATGGTGTTTAATTTAGCGTCTGCCAACATTCGAATTTGGTCATGTTTTTTAGTTTTGTGGGTGAGTCTAAGGGAGGCGTACTTTAGAACCGCGTAAGCGCCAAACGCACCGATAGCGATGCCTTCCATCACAAGGCCGATGGGTCTGGTAACGACGCCCAAAATGGCGGGAATGCCGATGGCTGCCGAGGTCGTGCCCAGGGCTTCCACGCCGTACTCCACGTATCCGAGTGCGGTTAAAAGTCGTTTGATCTTTTTGTAACTATTTTCCCTCGCGTCGCATTCTCTTTGGATTTGGGATTTAATTTCTTCGATCTTTCGGCTTGTTCAGCCGAGTTTAAACTCAAATCCAGCTGTTTACTTAAATCCGGGTATACATTAGTCGTCATCTTTTATTATAATATTACTTTTATAATTACGCGTTTTAAAAAATGTCTAACTCGATTAAAATTTTGCCGATGTTATTCAAGAGCTCACCTCTGTCGTTTTTAACAGAAAAAGTCAATTCACTGATGTTCCTGTCGATTAACTTTCTAGGCATTTCACAGTGATTGTAGGTGCGAGGCTCGGTAGCTATCACGTAGAGCAAGTCTAAAGACTGCCCGTTGTAAAAATTGTCAAATGTATTTAATTGTTTGCAATGAATAAACGCGAGTTTCAATGGGTTTAAATCGTACTTGCCTTCGTAAATAACGTTGGGTAAAAGTTTTATTTTGGGTAAGTTCAGTAGCTTGGACACTTCTTTATTTAGTCACAACTTGAGATTGGGGTCCGTAATGGCCAAAGTCACCCGTTTAGATTCTGAGTGAACCTTAAAAGAAACGCCCCGTATCGAGTTTAACAAAAAGTGAAACCAGTCCATGCTATAAAAACCGGGGGATACCATGATGCTTCCTCTTTGGCCCTGGGGTAATGGTTCAGATGAGCTTCGCGAATGAAGTCTGTCGTATATAGGTTCAGTTAGCCCCGTCAAAAACAGTCTTTTAGTCAATTCTCTTCTGGGTCTCGTGGGTGTTACGGGGTAGTTGGTAGTAGGTCGAGTCGGGGGATTCCCTTTGCGAATTTCTTCTAAAGCTTGTCTTTGCCCCTCGAGCAGTGAAGCTGATTGGACTTTTTTATCGTAGATATCATAAGCTAAACTAGCTCGCGTTTCTGATGGTTGTCTTTGGTTTAACTGATCTTCTAAAGCTGCGATTTCTTGGTTTAGCTGCTTAATTTCATCAGCGATGATTCTGAATTCTTCTGCTAAATTGCCTCTTTTATTTGCTTGGATCAATCTGTTTTTAGCTGTTTGTACTAATTCTGAATTGGGAGATACGTCCGTTCTTTCCTCTGAGGGTATTCCGGGCGGTTGTTCACCAAGTACCCCGCGGGCCTACCGTCCCAGTTTGTATCCCACTCAATTTCAGTCGCGTTTGTTACGTTAAAATATCCAGCTTCAAATTGAATATTCTTTACTCGGACGACCTTGTCACCTTTGGTGTTTTTAATGACATGTCTCAATTAAAACGTCTGCTCGCTCTCGGTTAAGTAAAACGTGTGAGTCTCCATTTTATTATATACATTTTGAAAAATCTTGTTTGGCGAGGTTTAATTTGTCGAGGGCGTTTTCCCAGTGCTTATCCGAAACTTGAAATAGATCTTTCACTTGAGATTCGGTTTCCTCAGTTGTCTCTTGATAACATACCGCGATTAAAGCCTTCAACGGTTTACCTCTAGAGATCTTACCGTTTAAAACTTGGTTTAACTTATATTCTATTTCACCCGCTTCGCCCTTTTTAAAACAAATGTTATATTTTTGTAGGGTTTTTCTCGATTTTGGTGGCGGCGGTTTCCTCCAAACGTGATGCTTGTAGTATCGATCTCCCATGTCTATGGGGGTGTACGAGGAAACCCACCCAAAAATTAGACCGCAATTTTTACACGTGTATCTTTCATGTTTCAAGTATTTGGTGGTTACAAGCGGGTATCGGTTTACTTTGTTTTTGAGATCCTGCTATGTGTACTTCCTTTAGATTCAGCAAGTGACAAAGCTCCGCATCAGTCATCTTTTATTAATAGTTCATTTATTTAAGGTAAAAAATTAACCTGGGATTTCTACTTTAATTAAATGTTCGACGTCAGCGTCGTATTCAATAATTAATCCAATTTTGTATAAATCCGCGTCGAGTTTAGTCGCTGAATCGGGCAGTGGCTTGTTCTCTCGCACGTGCCTCAGCTTTTTATGCTTGCCGTCTACGAGCACCATGTGATCCATTCCTTCCAACTCGACACAATTTATGCAGCAGGTGCAGTACGTACAACCAAAACATTCTGTGCAATTACCACACTCGTAACAGTCCTCGCAACTGTCCAAGGCATTTGAATTTCTGCAGTCGTATGAATTAAAACAAGCCACGCGATTTATACATCTACCGCAATCGACGCAGGTGGAGCAGTCCTTACATCTGACGCAGTCTTGGCATTCGTGACAATTGTGGCATTCTTTACGATCGCTACATTTGCGTAAACTTTTGGAATTTAAACAACGAAAGCAATCGTACGAATCTATCAAGTCGATCGAATTTCTCGTGTCTTTGCAATAATAACAATTTACGTTTGTAGTTTTATCTACCCTTTATTTTTATGTAGTGTTAATTTTTTTTTTCGTTTTTTATAATGGGCCAGCAAGGGGAAGTCCCTTTTTTGTTTGTGAGTGATTGCTGGTGCGATCGGTGCTGGTCACGAGTTGTTTACACAAAAAGTGTGCCGGGGTCAAAAGGTTAGTAGTGGGTGAAGTGGAAATCCCCGGTGCGAGTGGGTGAAAGGGAGTTTTGGCTCAGAAGGTGTATATTTACCCGGTATTTTTAGAGCCAGATTTTGGGGTCGATGAGGTACCCAGGGAAAATTGTTAAAATCTGGAATTCCAGATTTTTAGGGGATTCCCCCAATTTTTTGAGTCGATGTACTACCCAGGAGTTTTTGCTGAAAACGGTGGAAAAGGGAGTGTGGGCCAGAACTCTCCATTTCCCCCTACTACTTAGGCAGGATAAGAAAATTCCTCGGGCCATATACTTGCACAAATTTTAATCATTCTATTTTAAATTTTCTTCATTCTATTTTAAAAAGAGAAGCCAAGGTGTTTAAAATCTGATTCAATTTTGAATAAAAAATTTCTTATCAGAACAACCACCCATATGTAAGAAATCTTTTTAAATCCATTCATGCTTTAATTTTAGTAGTAGTTCTTTCCTCGCCCTTCCACCTCCATGGTTTGGGTTCAATTCTCGGCTTGGTCCACATGTGGATTGGGTTTTCAGTCCCTACCTGATTCTCTGAGCTTTACCCAGAATATTCCTCTAGAATTTTCCTCCCACCTCTAAAACTGTTACTGCTTCTCATTGTCTCCTCTCCAGAGGTTTCTTCAGGCTTGCCAGCTAGTCTAGTGTCTGGGGTGTTTTTTGAGGAATTCTTAGTGTCATTACTAGAAATAAATAATCATTGTTTCAAGATGGTCATTCATACGGGAATGGAGTGATTTCTAATTTATTGAAAAATATATTGTGTTTTTTGTTGTTTTCAGGTAACAACACAGCCTTTTGAGTTCAAGCCATCTCCACTCACCCACAGAGTTCATTACTCTGTTGACATGAACAGTTTGAGTAATGAAAGCCAAGGAGATGATTGTGAGGCAGATCCACCTCCCCACCCCTCTGTTAAGAATTCAAAGGTAACTTTATTCCGTGATTTGCCTTGCACAGACTCGGCTATAGGCAGTCAAATTGAAAAGAGCTTAAAGGATCCAAAGAGTGAAATCACTTGCTCACGTGACAACTCTAAACTGATAGCTAGTCAGTCCAAGAGAGGTGAACCAAGAAGTTGGAATTACACCGAAGACAAGTCGGCAGATGTAGGAAAAAATGGGAATTTAGTACCCAGCTCAAAACAGTTGGGTATTTTTGAAACCAGTGAGTCTCAACTACATGTAAACAAGCACACTATCAGCAATGGTACATATTACCCTGGCTCAAATGATATACCACGAAAGCGTCGTCCAATCTCGTTTGTAACGGCACTACAGATGAGCGAAGAGTTAGATGTGAAAAAACGGCAGCAGCTTGGACCTGTGTGCTATGATGGCCTTGAAAGAAAAGTTGGAACCCAAGGTAATTCCATTGATGCTAAACATCTTTCTGAAACAAATTCAGATCTACATTGCAAAGAACTGTCTTCTTGCACCAAATACGAAATATCAGTGTGACAATTTAAGAGAATTAGCAGTGTCCATTTGAACTTTTTCATACAGGTTATTTGTGTTACCGTGATGACATAAGCAACTGGATGAATTTTTTAAATGCAATATTAAATTGTAATGTGTTTAGAGTATGATTTAGGATGAATTTCTCCCTTACTTTTTTGTATTCTAACAAATTGGTAATTTCAGGGAAAGTGAAATGTTGCGTTTTAAAATCTTGTATTAGTTGTATTTCATGTTGTAAAATCTAAGAGTTTTGAGGCACCCACAGGCACTGTATGTAAACCCAACATCTAGAGTGTCAAATCTGAAGTAGACGATAGGTGGCAGATGAGATGAAATTT